ACATGGGTGTAGGGGCCCAAAGACTTGGGCCATCTTTCATTGCTTTCCAGAGCCATAGCAGAGAGCTGGATGGGAAGTGGAGCAGCCAGGACTTGAACTGGCAGAGCCCATATGGGATGCAGGCACTGCAGGCAGTGGCTTTACCTGCTATGCCACAGCATCGACTCTTCTGCTAAACATTACTAATTTCATTATTTCAATGTGTCATAAATTTTAATTGGTTCTTAGTGTTTTCAGTTTTTCAGGGGAGTTAGAATTTATTTGCTTGGCTTAATATTAGAAGTGCACATTTTAGGTCTTATTTCAATATTCTAGGAAAACAAAACACGTGATAATTATCTGCACAGGTCTATTTTACCCATCCTGTTTAAATTTATAACCTTGCTGATTCCTGGCCCCATACACTGCTGGCTTTTTTTTTTTTTCATTAACAGTTTCCATTGTCAAAAGTGAAATTTTATCTCAGAATTGTGAGAAATTCATCTCAGAAGACAATTACTGAAGAATTCATTGATCCAATAGATGTTACAAAGCTTTTAATGATTAATTGCTGACAAATTATACAATTAGGAGCTTAATATCTCAGGCTTAAGGGAACTGAGAAGGCCTTCAGGATATTTCAGATAAGGAAAACAGCTTGAACATTTTTGAGACACGCATAAACAAGGCATGTTTATTGATCTGGTATGTTCATTTATTTTATTTTATTTGTTGAAAAGCAGAGTGACAGAGAGGTTTTCCATCTGCTTAATCCCAAATGCCTTCAACAGCCAGGGCTAGGCCAAAAGCCAGGAACCAGGAACTCCATTTGGGTCTCCCTATTGGACGCAGGAACCCAAGTACTTGGGCCATCATTCACTACCTCACAGGCGCATTGGGAGGAAGCTGGATTGGAAGCACAGAGCAGCCAGACTTGAAACATGCACTCATATGAATATGAATATGAATTCATATGAATATGAATCCCAAATGGCAGTTTAACTCTGCACCACAATGCCTACCTCCATTTATTCTCCCAACAAATTTTAATTGAGTCTCTACCATTTGCCAGATGCTGAACTATGTGGCAGAGATAACACAGAAGACAGTCATGGGGCTGGCATCATTGTAAAGCCATGTCTTAACACACTGTACCATGATGCCGGCATCCCATATCAGAGAGCAGGTTCAAGTTGTGGCTGCTCTACTTCCAATCCTGTTCTCTTCTAATGTACCTGAACTGACTCAAGTACTTGGGCCCTGCCATCCATGCGAAAGACCCAGATGGAGTTCCAGGGTGCCGGCATCAGTCTGGGCCTGTCCTAGCCATTGCAACCATTTGGGAGTGAGAGATGTTGAGAGATGTTCTATCTCTCCCTCTCTCTTTAACTTTGCCTTTTAATAGATAAATCTTTTTTTAAAATGCAGAATCCCATGAGGCTGGCACTGTGACATAAAAGATTAAGCCTCTGCCTTCGGCATCCCCTATGGGTGCCAGTTTGAGTCCCGGCTGCTCCACTTCCAATCCAGCTCTCTGCTAATAGCCTGGGAAAGCAGTGGAAGATGGTCCAAGTGCTTGGGACCCTGCACCCATGTGGGAGACCTGGAAGAAGCACCTGGCTCCTTAGCTTTGGATCAGCCCAGCTCCAGCCATTACAGCCATTTGAGGAGTTTACCAGTGTACAGAGTATCTCTCTCTCTCCCAGTCTGTAACTGTGCCTCTCAAATAAATAAATCTTAAAAAGAAAAAAAAAAAAAAAAGGGCAGACCCCCAGACCCCCAAGCCAATCCTTACCAGATCAGTAGGAAGGTGGTCTAGGATATATATTTTTAACCAGTGCTAAGGGATTCCTATGTGAGAGGCATTGCTAAAGCTGATTTGGAGCCACTAAAGGCTGTTAAGCAGAGTTCTGTATGAATAATGTTAGAAGGATCTTTTGAATGCTTTGAAGGAGAGTAAGAACAAAGGCAGAAATATAGGTTTTGAGGCTACCAACAATACTCCAGGACAAAAATGATGAACGCTTACATTCCTACAATGGGAGTGAGAAGAATGAAAAGGACTGCACTAAGAAGGGTTGGGGTGGGTGAACAAAGTGGTTCTTCTGGAATAGTTTAGGGTTCATGAAGAAAAGCAGTTTAAAAGAAGATAGGAAAGATATGTTGGAGCTCTACGTGGATGACTTAGAATGTGGGGCCATTTAGTTTCAAAACTTTATAAAGCGCCACTGCAGGATTCTGATAACAATACTATGCTAAAGAACTGTCCTAAAATTATTCTAATGGAGAAAAACTACTGCTACACAAATTGTAAGATGATGAGTTCCTAAGCCAGGGAGGTAGCAAAAGAGCTGGGGGAAGGAATGGATGCTTAAAAACAAAACGTCCTGAACAGAAAACATAAATACTATGAAGATAAAATTGGCAAAATTGTTCCTTCCCTAAATCTATGTCCACCTAGGCAGCACTGAACAGTTATTAAGACTATCAATCTTGGAGCTAGGTGACCTGTGCTTAAATCTGGGATCTATCACTCAAGACCTATATGATCTTGAGCAAATTACTTAACATTTCTTCACTTCTCTTTTCTTATAAAATGGAAACATTAATTATAGTACCTACCTCACAGACTGTTGAAAGGATTAAAAGAGGTAAAATATGTATACTACCTACCAAGAACTAGTTTAAATGCAATAAGTGTTTATTATTAATATCATGCCTAGTTCTAACAAACTAATTTCCACAGCCATCATCTTCCTAATGCCTTTACAAAAGTCAAGAAACCTCAGTTTGAATTCCAGCTCTGCTACTTATATTTGCTGTATAACTTGGGACAGTCACATACCGAAGGCTCAGGTTTTATCTTCTGTAAGGTGGTGTTATTTCAATGATTAAATAAAATAGTGTACATAAAACACTTAATATTTACTTCCTGAAATACAAAGCACTTAATAAATGAAGCAATTATTTATAATGTCCTTGCTTTACACTGCATCTACATTGTATGATCTTAAAAATTCAGCATTAAATACAGCAACAAATCAAAAACAATATAATTTATTTGAGAGAGACAGATGGACAGACATGAAGAGCTCCCATCTGCTGGTTTATTCCCAAAATGCCTGCAATGTCCAGGAGCCCTGTCCAGGTCTCCTGTGAGGGTGGCAGAAACTCAACTATTTGAGCCATCAGGGCTATCTCCTAGTTTCTGCATTAGCAGGAAGCTAGAGTCAGGAGGCAGAGCCAGGTACTCTGATGTGGAACATGGATATCTTAATCTCTAGACTAAATACTCATTCCCAGTGAATAAAATTTTAAGTGAGCATACTCTCCTGACATAGAAATATCTCACTTCTAAAATTCTGTCCTAAGGAAATAATCATACAAAAACTCAAAGTGTATATTCAGTGGAGTTTTTTAATTAAAATGAAAGCAACCTAAATGTTCACTAACATGGCTAGATAAACAAATCAGTTTACCCAACAAAAGAATATTCTGTTAAAAAAAAATAAAGTGGATTTGTAAGCAGTGACATGGGAAGATGTTTAAGATACTCTTGAGTGGAAAAAAATGAAACAGTAAATAGAAAGTATAGTATGATTCCCTTTACATTAAAAAGCATGCCTATATATGACTGTATTATATAAAGGACAATCTAGAAAACATATCAAACCTAACAATTAGTCTCCTCTGGCAAATAAGACTGAATGGGAAGAAGGGAACTTTGCTTTCAGCTTTATATTAAATAGTAAGAAAAATAAAGACCTAGAGAAAAAAGATGGAGATCTTATAGTTCATAAAAACAGTACTTGACTGTGAGCATATTCCTTATATTATCAAATTCCTTAAATTATTCTTAATATATCCAGGAATAAAACAATATAAGGATGTCTTAAATATGACAAGAATTCTATTATTTTAAAACTTTAGATGTTGAACTCCCAACATGCATATTTAAGTAGCTGCAGAAGACTTGAGAGTGGAGAATTTATTCTAAATATGGACACCAGCATCTAGCTTCATTGTCATTTATCTATCTATCCACACAGAGTGCTTACAAGTATCAGGTACTACACCAGACAGTGTTAAAAGTATAAATGCCATCCCTTATAAAATCTACTAGATAGTAAATATCTATCCATGCACATAAATGGACTATGAAAATATTTTGTGTGACTTCTATTTCTGTACTACTTCTTCCACAGTGGGATTACATTCTGGTGTTGAACATGCCCTTGAGTAAAATGTACTGATACAAATACAGTACCAATTCAGCATTCAGAAAGGAAAGTGTATTTCTCTGTCTCTATGTCTACCTATAACTCTTTCAAATAAATAATATAAACCTTAAAAAAAAAGTTTAGGGAGGGGATGCAGCACTGTGGTGCAGCAGGTTAAAGCCCTGGCCTGCAGTGCCGGCATCCCATTTGGGTACCAGCTCAAGTCCTGGCTGCTCCACTTCCGATCCAGCTCTCTGCTGCCCAGGAAAGCAGTAGAAGATGGCCCAAGTCCTTGGGCCCCTGCCACCCATGTGGGAGACCCAGAAGAAGCTCCTGGCTCTTGGGTTTGGATCAGCTCAGCTCTGCCTGTTGCGGCCATTTGGGGAGTGAACCAGCTGATGGAAGGCCCCTCTCTCTCTGTCGCTACCCCTCTCTGTAACTCTTTCAAATAAATAAATAAATAAATAAATAAATAAATAAATAAATAAATAAAAAGGAAGTGCATACTGTCTGCTGGAAATGGCATAAGGAAGGCCACAATCAATGAAAATCAGACATTTTGAGAAGGTTTCCTTATTAAAAATGACACTCTCCACTGACATTATAAAGCCTTGTCAGCATAATATATATTTTTTTCAACTGTGAAAGATTTTAAATATACTTCATCTTCATGTATAGGTATAAGTCACAAAGTAAAAAGTACAGAACTTAAATTTTTAAACACAGGCTCAAGACAAATAATCATTTTACACAGTAAGTCAATATCCAAATAAAAGAAATTGCTAGAGCAATCATATTTACCATTGAAGGGATTGATTCCTGCGCTTATTCTTGAAATAATAGCTTCTTTTACTTCTTTTTTCTTTACACATCGAATACCCAAATTTTGAAAGCTACAATGAAAAAATAAAACTTTCTGAAGTGCATTAGAGTTAAACAGAGGAATACTGCAGAAATCAAGTATGTGTCCAATACTAAAGAGTTATTATGCTGTCAGATGATACTGAAGATACTTCAGGGATACCGAAGCATGAGATGAACTTCCAGTTGCTATGATAAAGATGTGAGAGTAAAAAAGTAGGGTAGTGCACGTAGGGGACCCGGATGAAGCTCCTGGCTTCCACCTGGCCCAGCCCCGTCCGCTATGGCCATCTGGGGAGTTAAACAGCAGATGGAAGCTCACTTGCTCACTCCCTCCCTAACTCTGACTTTCAAGTAAATACATAAATGTCTGGGAAAAAAAAAAGTGGGGTACCACCCAGTGCTGTGGTGTTAAACTGGCACTTTTGACTCCAGTATTCCTTATACAAATGCCATTTGCTTTTGAAGCTGCTCCACTCTGAAACAGTTCCCTGCTAATGTTACTGGGAAAGTCCAGGTGCTTGGACCCCTACCACCAACATGTAAGACCAGGATGGAGTTTCTGGCTCCTGGCTTTGGCCAGGACCAGCCCCAGTCCTTGCAGCTATTTGGAGAGTGAATCAGCATATGGAAGAGATCTTTCTCTTCCTCCCTCTGTCACTCATATAAATAAATTTTTTAAAAAATAAAGTGGAGTTACTTCTAGAGAACTGTTAAAAACAAGATAACATATATAGTACTATATCATTTTTACATTAAGTATTTTACTATTACATTTTACTTATATACTTCTGTCAACTATATCAAAGTAAGTAGAAAGGTAAAATTGACTTTCCAAACTGATAATCAAATCAGTAAAATCTGCATATCTGATCATGTAAACCAAAAACTGTAAAAATATGCCCACAGCCTGATTACATTTTAAATCATATCTGTATAGGTTAGCAACATTTTTTTTTTATTTTTTTATTTTTTTATTTTTTGACAGGCAGAGTGGACAGTGAGAGAGAGAGAAAGGTCTTCCTTTGCCGTTGGTTCACCCTCCAATGGCCGCCGCGGCCGGCGCACCGCGCTGATCCGATGGCAGGAGCCAGGAGCCAGGAGCCAGGTGCTTTTCCTGGTCTCCCATGGGGTGCAGGGCCCAAGCACCTGGGCCATCCTCCACTGCACTCCCGGGCCACAGCAGAGAGCTGGCCTGGAAGAGGGGCAACCGGGACAGAATCCAGCGCCCCGACCGGGACTAGAACCCGGTGTGCCGGCGCCGCTAGGCAGAGGATTAGCCTAGTGAGCCGCAGCGCCGGCCTAGTTAGCAACATTTTAAAAATCCAGTTATTATATGTGAAATCTAATTTACTGACCTTTAAGGTCTCACAACACGAGGCTGGCACAGAACCAGCCAGATTTATGCAGGGCTCTCTAGCTGACAGCAGTGCTGCCAGTCTTCCTATATCTATCTGATCATGCCACTCATTTATGCTGTCTAGCCCTACAAACATTTGATTTTCAAGCTATGACTTCACTGCTGATAGCAATGAAATGTTTTGTGCTATGTTATATGAAGCTAAAATAATTATTTACCATTAGAAAATACCAAAATTTGGGGGGTTGGCATTGTGGTACACAATGGGTTGAGCCATTGCCTGCCACACCAACATCCCATTTGAGCACTGGTTGAAGTTCCAGCTGCTCTGCTTCTTATCCAGCTTCCTGTTAATGTGCCTGGGAAAGCATGAAAGACGGCCCAATGGCGTTGGCCCCTGTAACCCACATAAGTCACACTGATGGTGTTTCAGGCTCCTAGCTTCGGCCTTGCCCAGCCTTGGCCATTACCGCCATTTGGGGAGAGAATCAGCAAATGGAAGATCTCTCTCTCTCTCCCTGTCTCTAACTTTGTCTTTCAAATAAAATAAAATAAATCTTGAGAAAAGAAAATGCCAAGATTTTTTAAATTAGAGGTTTAACACTAACAATAATATTTAACAAAAGTTTCAAAAATGTCACTTGTGGAAAACTTCTCAATAGCTACAAATATTACTAATTTGCATGTGTGTTGTACAGATGATGGTGGGGGGAACTCCCCCACCACCACGAGTCATACTTGTTCCCACATGGAAAAACCATGACATCATTAAAGTTGGGTGGGTGTGAATAAGGAAGCAAAACTTAATTATAATAACATTACTACTTGTTCAAACCACACAGGGACTTGCAACTTAAGACTCCATTCTTTGCCTCTCTCCACACTCATGCCATCTTATGGTCATTCTCCTCATAGTCACACTTGCGATTTTAGTATCATTTAAAATATCTCTCACATCTCCTTACTTTGCCTTCAATAAATTAAAAATAAAATTGAATTCTTAATCCCTTCTTGACACTATAGTTCTCTTTCTCAATATTGTTCCATTCTCCAAAAGATTTAGTTTGATTACTTTGACAAAAGACTTTATTTATTTATTTATTTATTTATTTATTTATTTATTTATTTTTGACAGGCAGAGTGGACAGTGAGAGAGAGAGACAGAGAGAAAGGTCTTCCTTTGCCGTTGGTTCACCCTCCAATGGCCGCCGCGGCTGGCGCGCTGCGGCCGGCGCACCGCGCTGATCCGAAGCCAGGAGCCAGGTGCTTTTCCTGGTCTCCTATGGGGTGCAGGGCCCAAGCACCTGGGCCATCCTCCACTGCACTCCCTGGCCACAGCAGAGAGCTGGCCTGGAAGAGGGGCAACCGGGACAGAATCTGGTGCCCCGACCGGGACTAGAACCCGGTGTGCCGGTGCCGCAAGGCTGAGGATTAGCCTAGTGAGCCACGGCGCCGGCTAAGACTTTATTTATTTAAGATTTACAATGACTGGAGCTGCACCAATCTGGAGCCAGGAGCCAGGAGCCAGGAGCCAGGAGCCAGGAACCTCTTCTGGGTCTCCCACGCGGGTGAAGGGCTCTACAGCGGGATCAGAAGTGGAGTAGCTGGGACTTGAACTGGGCCCATATGGGATGCTGACACCGCAGGTGGCAGCTTTACCCACTACCACAGCGCTGGCCCCTTGACAAAAGACTTTAAAGAGGGGCCAGTGCTGTGGCATAGTGGATAAAGCCACTGCCTGCAGTGCCAACATCCCATATGGGCTCCAGTTCCGAGTTCTGGCTGCTCCATTTCCAATTCAGCTCTCTGCTATGGCTTGGGAAAACAGTAGAATATGGCCCGAGTCCTTGAGCCCCTGCACCTACGTGGAAGGCCCGGAGGTTTCTGTCTCCTGACTTTGGATTGGCACAGCTCTGGCCATTGTGGCCAGCTGGGGAGTGAACCAGCATATGGAAGACCTCTCTCGGTCTCTGCTTCTGCCTCTCTCTGACTCTACCTTTCAAATAAATAAATACATCTTTTAAAACAAAACTTTAAAGAATTCTTTAGTTTAATATGGTGGTTAGATAGCATTTGAATTTTTCATCTAATTAATATTTGACTGCTATTCACAAAGTATTAGAAGTAGTAGGTAGTTCTGAAATTCTGACATGAGGAATTCAAGAATCAAAGAGATTACCTGAATCAATTATTCACTCATTCACAGTCATTCAACCAGTTTCAAGGTTCCTACTTTATAAAATACTCCAAAAAGTAATGGGGATATACAATCCTGTCCTTCATTGAGTTTACAGTCTAGCAAAGGGGTTGGTAACCTGTAAACCCAGGGCAAACCCAGTACCCTGTTTTTGCAAATAAAGTTTTACTGGAACACAGCCAAAATAAATTGTTATCCTTATTCCAAGAGCCACATAAAACCATTAAAATGTTTTAAATGGAGGCAGGGGTAGACTATATTTTTTTATTTATTCTTTTTTTAAAAATATTTATTTGAAAGTCAGAGTTACAGAGAGAGAGAGGAGGAGGAGAGGCAGAGAGAGGTCTTCCATCTGCTGGTTCACTCCCCAACTGGCCACAATGGCTGGAGCTACACCTGAAGCCAGGAGCTTCCTCCGGGTCTCCCACAAGGGTACAGGGGCCCAAGGATTTGGCCATCTTCTACTGCTTTCCCAGGATACAGCAGAGAGCTAGATCAGAAGTGGAGCAGCCGGAACTCCAACCGGTGCCCATATGGGTTGCCAACACTGCAAGCGGCGGCTTTACCCGCTACACCACGGTGCCGGCCCCTTTATTTATCCCATTAAGATTTATTTATTTAATTGAAAGAGAGAAGAGTAAGACAGAGAGAGAGAAAGAGCTCAGTCTACTGGTTCACTCCCTAACAGCCCACAACAGCCAGGGCTGGGAGCCAGAAACTCCATCAGTTTCCCATGAGGGTAGCCGGAACCCAAGTACTTGGACCATGATTTGCTACCTCCCAGGCGCATTAGTAAAAAGCTGGATCTAAAGTGTAGAATAGCTGGGACTCAAGCAGGCACTCCAATATGAGATGCAGGAATTCCCAACAGTAAATTAACTCACTTTGACACAATGCCTACCCCAGGGAATAACATGTATCTTAAAAGATCATTTTGGGAGCTGGCATTGTAGCACAGCAGGTTAAGTCACCATCTGCAATGCCAGCATCCCCTATCAGCACAAGTTCAAGTCTTGGCTGCTTCACTGCCTATCCAGTTCCCTGCTAATATGCCTAGGAAACCAATGGAAGATGTCCCAAGTACTTGGGATCCTGTCACACACCTGAGAAACCTACATAAGCTGTTGGCTTTGGCCTAGCCCAGCTCCGACGATTGCCATCAGTTTAGAAGTGAACCTCTCTCCCTGTCTTTATCTTTGCCTTTCAAATAAATAAATACATCTTTCTTTAAAAAAAAAAAAAAAAAAGATAATTCTGGCTAAAGCGGAGGAAGACTGAGGGGGAAAAGTACAGTTAGAGCTAATACAAGACCAGTCAGGAAGATATTCCTGAAGCCCAAATTTAGACTTTTGTAGTAGGATGGTGGTGATGGATTTCATTAAATGGAATGGATAGGGCCTGCACCATGGCTCACTAGGCTAATCCTCTGGCTGTTGCGCTGGCAACCAGGGTTCTAGTCCCGGTTGGGACGCCGGATTCTGTCCCGGTTGCTCCTCTTCCAGTCCAGCTCTCTGCTGTGGCCTGGGAAGGCAGTGGAGGATGGCCCAAGTGCTTGAGCCCTGCACCCGCATGGGAGACCAGGAGGAAGCACCTGGCTCCTGGCTTCGGATCAGTGCAGCACTAGCCATGGCGGCCATTAGGGGAGTGAACCAATAGAAGGAAGACCTTTCTCTCTGTCTATAACTCTCTCTCTGTCTCTCTCTTTCTCACTGTCTAACTCTGCCTGTCAAAAAAATAAATGGAATGGATAAGATTCAAGAGCTATTCAGAAGATACCTGTTAGTGATTCAATGTGTATACCTATGTGAGATGTAAGGGATGACATTCATGTGTAAGGCTTTTATAGCAACCACTAACATAGGACATTGGAAGATGACCACTTTTGAGGTGGAAAGAAGCATGATCACAGTAAGATTATGGTTTGGGGTATATTCTCTTTGAAATGCTTTTTCAATACCATTCTCCACTGAAGGAACTCCTTGGCAAAAATTGATGACTTTAGGTCTGAGGCCAAGATAAGTACAAATCTGAACACTTGGTTATGTCACAAAGAAGTGCTCAGAAAAAAATGAGAACATTCCAAAAGGACACAGAAGACAGTTGTAAAGGCTTGCACTGGTCAAATATGGATCGGTTTGATGCCAGTAATGGACTATAAAACAATGGATATAAGAATCCATGAAACTTTTTAAATAAAGGGCAAGAAAAGTTCTTATTTATAATCAAATGTCAATATGACAAATAGAAAAATGATTATCACTGTCTCTCCCTCTCTTTGACTCTGCCTTTCAACTAAGTATTTTTTAAAAATTTCCTACTAGAAAATTTTTTTAAAAGATTTATTTATTTACTTGAAAGGCAGAGTTACAGAATGGGAGAGACAGTGGGAGAGAAGGAGAGAAGTCTTCCACGCTGGGTTCACTCCCCAAATGGCTGCAACGGTTGGAGCTGAGCCAATCTGAAGTTGGGAACTTCTTCCGGGTCTCCCACGTGGGTGCAGGGGCCCAAGGACTTGGGCCATCCTCTGCTGCTTTCCCAGGCGCACTAGCAGGGAACTGGATCGGAAGTGGAGCAACCAGGACTTGAACCAGTGCTCATATTTGATGCTGGAGCTGCAGGCAGAGGCTTAACCTACTATGCCAGAGTGTCAGCCCCTAGACATATTTTTTTACACTTGACAAACAGGCCCATCTTTTGGCAGTCTCACCAATATAGAGTTACGTATTTTTTTTTTAATCTTAGTATTGTTTCATGTTAGTTTCATAATATTCTAAATATTCTAAATAAAAATTCTAGAGTTTTCCAGTTAGTTTGCTTATATTTAGCAATTTTTAAGTTAACTACAAATGAAAAGACAGAGTAAAAATTTGTTTCATAAAATTTTCAAATGAAGAAAGAAAAATCACAGCATTAGGTCACTTTACATTTTAGGGGCGAGTATTTAACATAGCAGTTAAGTTGCTGGTTAAGATGCCTGTATCCCATATTGGAGTGCCTGGGTTTGAGTCCTAGCTCTGCTCCTGATTCCAGGTTCCTGGTAATGCACACTCTTGAAAGCAGTAAGTGATGACTCAAGCCACCCAAGTAAGAAACCTGGACTGAGATCCCAAATCCCAGCTTCGAACTGGCCAACCTTGGCTGTTAAGGACATTGGGGAATGAACCAGTAGATGGGAGGATTCTGTCTATTCTGTCTCTCTGCCTCTCAAATTAATAAACAAAAAAAAATGTTTAAATAGTTTTATATAGGATCCCTGCTAACGATTATGAACTGTACCTACTAATGAAATATAGAAGGGTAGCTCTAATACAAATGCTAAGAAAATTTTATTGTACACTATAGAAATCAGAAGTAGAATGAAGGATTACTTTAGTCTGCTAACAACAGATGATCATGAATAGGAAATAAAGCATGCTATGTTCATTGTATTCATGAAGATGTCTGTGACTGTACTTACAACAAAGGTCTACGTTCTTGTCCAAATTCTGCTTCATAGTAACCATCTCTGCAGTCTTTTCCAACTAAATCATGAGGATGTGGCTTATATGGGTCATTTTTTGTAACTAATGTAATTCTCACTTTTCCTTTTCCATAATAGTTGATAATCTGAAAAAGGGGGGAAGATACATATAATCTATTAATATATGTCATTAGGAACTGATTTACTACTTAAGAGTTCAACTTACACAATGTATTCAGCACTGCTAAATAAAATCTAACTGACTAGCATCTGCAACTTAGATCAGACTTTCCAACACAAACAGGGAAGAACTCACCACTCAGTTTCTTCTTCTTTTTTTTTTTTTTTAAAGATTTATTTACTTTAGAGGCGTAGTTAGGTAGAGAAAGAGGGAGAGACAGAGAAACAGCAAATTAGCAAGCAAGGGATAGATCTTCTATCTCTGGTTCAGTGCCCAAATGGCTGCAATGGCTAGAGCTGGACCAGACTGAAGCCAAGAGCCAGGTGCTTCCTCCCCATCTCCTGTGTGGGTGGCAGAGGCCCAAGGACTTGGGCCATCCTCTGCTGCTTTCCCAAGCACATTAGCAGGGAGCTAGTTTGGTAGTGGAGCAACCAGAACTCTAACAGGCACCCATCTGGGATGCCAGTGTCATAGGCCACTGCTACACCACAACATCAGCCCCGTCAGTTTCTTGACATATTATTTTTTGCCCTTATTTCAACTGGTCATATAATTTGATTCTACTTTTAAAACAAGTATAGTTATATCAAAATTTTGTCATACACCATGATATGAAATGTTGAGGCTGGCATTATCACGCAGTGGGCTAAAATGCCACCTGCGACACTGACATCCCATATGGGCAACGGTTAGAGTCTCAGCTGCTCCACTTCCCATTCAGCTTCCTGCTAATGTTCCTCGGCAATCAGTGGAAAATGGCCCCATGTTTGGGCCCCTGCACTCACTTGAGAGGCCCATATGAAGCTCCTGGCCCTGGCCCTGCCCCTGCCATTGTGGCTATTTGGGGAAATGAATCAGTGGATGGAAGATTGATCGATCAATCTCTGTCTCTCACCAACCCTCCCTCCTTCTCTGTAACTCTGTCATTCACATAAATACATCTTTTTTTTTTTTCCAAAAAAAGAAGAAATTTTAAGTCACAAATGCCTTGCTCTAAAATGCACTTTCATACCATTAACATCCCTGGAAAAGTATATGCTTATGCCACACTGAAAATGATAGCATCACATGATATAATTATCCTAAATATGACATTTCAATTCACAAAAATAGTTCAGCATATTAATATCCAAGTGTTTACTGTATAACAGGCAATAAATCAAATTGAGTTTAACAGGATTAAGTGTCACAGAGAAAATATACCTAGGATACTCAGAATAAATGGGACAATGGCATGGGAGAAGCAGGAGGCCACTCTGAGATGGGAAGAAAATAATGTTTACTTTGGAAGACAGTATATTTGCAAGAACAAAGCAGGGAATTTAAAAACCAGCAAACTACAAAGGAACAAGGTAGTGAAGAATGGGTGGTTTACCAAGTAGAGGGTACTGAAATCCATAATTTGGAATTCAAATAGCAACCAGGAAGTATTCGTTGCCTTTCTGGATGAAAGCAGGTAATCACTCAAGACTATATAATAAGGTAATGTAGAACTCAAGTTATAAAGCATTTAGCATCTATTGGAATGGTCAGGATAGACATAGAGTAAGGTGAATTATTATAAGAAGTTAAAAATGACTAAAAGCAGTTAAGAATGGCATTTTCTTATCTTCTTTTTATTAGCATATCATGTATTTTAATATTTAAATAAAAGATCTTAGATAACTACTATCCACCTCACTGCCAAAAATGTGATAAAAATAGAAATTAGGAATTCAGTAAATAATTGTATTGTTGGTTTATTGTGTAATTCAGCAATTCTTTTTCAAAAAATTTTAAAGGTTTATTTTTATTTATTTGGAAGACAGTTACAGAGAAGAGGAGAAATAGAAAGAGAAAGAGAGATCTTCCATCCACTGGTTTACTCCCCAAATAGCTACAATGGCTGGGGCTGGGCCAGGCTTAAGTCAGGAGCCTGGAGCCTCTTCTTGATCTCTCAGGAACGTGGATTCAGGGGCTAAAGCACTTGGGCCAACTTCTGCTGGTTTTCCAGGCACATTAGCAGGGAGCTGGATCAGAAGGGTAGCAGCTAGGACTTGTACTGGCGTCCATATGGGATACTGGCATCATAAATGGAAGCTTAACCTGCTACACCACAGCATCAACTCCCAGCAATTCCCTTTAAATTCAGTAGAATTTTTGAAAAAATTTATTTATAAAATAGAGAATTAAAATTTGTTGATGGAAGATAAAGTAATACTGTTTGGTGCCAGCAGTGTGGCGCAGTGGATTATCTGCAACACTAACACCCCATGAGCGCCAGTTCTAGTCCTGGATTCTCCACTTCCAATTCAACTCCCTGCTAATTCAGTAGAAAATGGCTCAAGTACTTGGGACCCTGAACCCATGTGAGAGACTAGGAGGAGTTCCAGGCTCCTGGCTTCAGTTTTGGCCAGCTCTGGCTATTGTAGCCATTTGAGAAGTGAACCAGCAGATGAAGATCTTTCTCTTGCTGTTGCTCCTCTCTCTCTAACTCTGACTTCCAAATAAATAAATAAACCTATACAAAAAAAAAAAAAAAAAAAAGTAGGCACTGTGGCCTACTGAGCCTCCGCCTGCAGTGTCGGTACCCCATACAGTTCATGTCCTGGCTGCTCCTCTTCCAATCCAGCTCCCTGATATGGTCTGGGAAAACAGTAGAAGATGCCAAAGTGCTTGGCCCCTGCAACCATGTGGGAGACCTGGAAGAAGCTCTTAACTCCTGGCTTCAGATTGACCCAGCTCTGGCTGTTGTAGCCATTTGGGGTGTGAACCAGCAGATGGAATATCTTTCTCTCTGTCTCTCCCTCTGTCTGTAACTCTGCCTCTCCAATAAATAAATAAAATCTTTGAAAGAAAAAAAAAAAAGTGGGCCAGCACCGTGGCTCACTTGGCTAATCCTCCGCCTGCGGCGCCAGCACCATGGGTTCCAGTCCCGGTAGGGGCAGCGGGTACTAGTCCCGGTTGCTCCTCTTCCAGTCCAGCCCTCTGCTGTGGCCCGGGAGGGCAGCGGAGGATGGCCCAAGTGCTTGGGTCCCTGCACCTGGCTCCTGGCTTTGGATCAGCGGCAGCGCCGGCCGTAGCAGCCATTAGGGGAGTGAACCAACAGAAGGAAGACCTTTCTCTCTGTCTCTCTCTCAGTCTATAACTCTACCTGTCAAAAAAAAAAAAAAAAAAAAAAGTGATACTATTTCAAATCAGCCAATGACCCAGAATATCAGAGACAGGCAACAAAAGTAAGGAAAAACAAGGGGAAAAATTTTTTTTCATAGCCACTACAGTAGCCAAGTGATTGCAGGAAAAATTCTGGTTGATCTCTCAAATCCAAATCTAATCTACAGAATAACCTCAGCTGCCCCTGTAAGGAAAGAATGCTTCTTCCTTGTTAGTTTTGTGTTCCATGACAGGGAACATGATTCAAAAGCTGCCAAGGTAAACACTGTGACTCACTCTATTTAGTACACAAAAATCTATCTACAGTGCGGAAGATGCTGTATCTTATTTATGTTATGTCCCTAGACATCAATCTAATACAGATGAATTAAAAAGAACAAGGAAAGAAGAAAAAGAAAAGATTTATGGAGATAACTGTGAAGAAACTGAGGACTTAATATAATTGCTATAGCTAAACTATGAAGCAACTAAGAGTGAGACAGACACAAGAGAAGGGTCTATTACCTGGATAGATGGGTATGTTCGGTTGTTGTCTGTGCTGTGCTCCCCTGGAATGCTGCCTGCTGATCGTCCTTCACATTTGTATCTGAAACGCATTCCCCTCTGTCTGGGTTGCTCAATTATCTCTATATAGGGGTTATATCCACCTAGAAATTAAGAAAACCAGGGGCAAGGGGGTTAACATTAATAGATTTTAATGCCCTTTTTTTTTTTTTTTTTTTAGCAGCAGAGTAAAATAGAGATTTTCCTTTCAACATTAAATAACAATGTTGAAAAGACTGGGTGGGAAAAACATATTTTTTCCCAAATTGAGCTTCTATGTAAGGTTAACACAAGACATTCAAATCACATAAATTGGTCACATAATTATTGCTTACCATCTTGAGCTGTTGCCAATAAGTTCTGAAATAACCACTTCAGAGATATCTACTTCCTAAATGAGACCAAGCAGAAGGGTTTTCCCCAAAATCCCCCAAGAAGGGTGAAGATAGTTTTCAGAAGTAAAATATTACACTCTAAAAGTGAGTATGTATATTTAATTGCTTGCCTTTATATTAAGACACTTAATCATTGATGAAAAAGACCACTCATTAAAAATGGATTTAAGTCCTTGTCCACTGGAACATTTAAAGACTTGTACGTAAGCATATCAAGGGGCTGGCACGCGTAGCAGGTGAGGCTGCCACCTGCAGTGCCAGCATCCTATATGGGCACCGGTTTGAGATCCAGATGCTCCACTTCTGATCCAGCTCTCTGCTGTGGCCTGGGAAAGCAGTGGAGGATGGCCCAAATCCTTGGACCCCTGCACCCATGTGGGAGACCCGGAGGAGGTGCCTGACTTCGGACCAGCCGTTGCAGCCACCTAGGGGAGTGAACGAACGAATAGAAGACCTCTCTCTCTCTCTCTCGCTCTCGCTCTCGCTTTCTCTGCCTCTTCGTTACTTTGCCTTTCAAATAAATAAATATCTTTAAAAAAAAACCCCGCAAAAACAAAACATTTACACCTCTACCCTCTTCTAAATCATGCAAACAAAAGTTCAACAAAGACACTCAACCGTGCTGACAAGTAGAGAGTTAACAATGTGTTTTATTTCTGGTGTGAGGATTTCCTTATTTTGTTTTTAAAAAAGTCGCCTTAAATCAGTTAGGATTCCTAAATTCTCACAATAATTTATCCATTTCACTAAGGTTTAACCTGTTAGAATGCAAGCAATCTTCAGAAACAGCAGCAGTGTGGACCTTATTAGTGTACTATGGGGAATTCTACCCAGCTACCTCTTAACACTAAGATCCTGGAAATATTAAATCACCTCTCCTGTAAAATGGGGAAGATAATAATAATAGCACCTTCTTTATGGGTTTATTACGAAGATTACAGATTACATGTTTTAAATTCTTACCAAGTGTTACACACATAACAGATATTTGATAAATAGTATTTCTTGTTATTTCAGATGCTTTCTTTAAACAGTGAATAAATGTACATCATGTATCACCACTGCTATTTTAAAGGGCCGTACAGAACAACGAGGCAAACACACATTTTAGACTACGGGGGGACAAAAGCACTAACAAAATTCAGCATAAAATGATAATAAAAGCAAGAGTAAAGAATGCCTAACTAAGTCACAAGAAAAAACAAGTAAGAGGAGAGATAAAGACAAAGAAGGAAAGATAGGCATTCTAGAGAAAGGAAACAGTGTGTCCACAAAATGAAGGCTTATTTAAGAATCACCAGTGGAAATGGAGTGCACTTTTCCACTCTCAGAAAGGGAACCAAGGGACCAGTGAGGTGGTACGGCATGTTAAGCCACTGCCTGCAATGTCAGCATCTCATATGGGCATGGAGGTTCGAGTCCCAGCTCTTCCACCTCCAATACATTTCCCTGTTAATGCACCTGAGAAAGCAGTGGAAGATGGCCCAAGTGTTTGGCCCCCACCACCTATGTGGGGGATTCAGACTGAGTCCTGGCTCCTGGATTTCACCTGTCCCAGTCCCAGCCATTGCAACCATTTGGGAAGTAAACCAAAGAATGGAAGCTCTCTAACTCTGCCTTTCAAATCAATCATTAAAAAGGGGGGTAGAAGGGAGAGAAAGAATCAAAAGTCAGAGCACACTAAGCAACACAGGTTTTATTTTACATGGGACAGGGAATCAATGAATGCTATTATGCATGAGAATTTTATGAACAGATTGGCATTTTAGAGTAAGAATTACAGAGGCACAGAACTATAAAGAAAAAGCAAAGTTATCAGCTTAGAGACTACTAGAGTAGTAGTGCTCCTTACCCTCAAGGAATATGTTTCAAGACTCCCAGCAGATGGCTGAAAATACATATTGTACCCAATCCTATATATACCATGTTATTTCCTATCCACACATACCTGTGATAATTTGTGAATTCAGTGCAAGGAGATTAATAACACTTATAATTAAGTAGAATAATTATAACAATATGGTGTAATAAGTTATTTAAAACTTATCTCAGAATTTTCCACTTAACATGTTCAAACCACAGTAAAGCAAGGATAACAAACTGTGGAAACTGAACCATGGGTAAAGTGACAACTGTAAAGGGACCAATGATGGTTTGAGTTATGGCAGTGATAATAGGGACAAGTATTATTTAAAAGATAAAACTGATAGTACTTGGTACCTGAACATTGGATTAAGAGAAATTAAAGAGAAATTGATGGGTCCATGGTCTCTACCTGGATTACTGAAGAAAATATTAATGTTATCTTTAATTTTATTCTATCTGGTCCATATTCCTTATATTTGAATCTGCTAACTATCTGCTTATTCAAAAGGCAAAGAGCCAGAAAAAAACATTTTTGGTTAAGATTTATTTGAAAAAGTTGCAGAGACACAGATAAATACACACACAGATATCGCTTCTCAGCCTTTTGGTGAAGATCAAGTGTGGGGAGAGAGAAAGCGAGAGCGAGAAGGGGAGAGGGAGAGGGGAAGAATTTCTTCCATCCACTGGTTCACTCCCCAAGTGTCTGCATCAGCCAGGACTGGGTCTGGGCCAGGCTGAAACCAGGAGCTTCATCCGGTCTCCCACATGGGTGCAGGGACCCAGGGACTTGGCCTTTTTTCCGCTACTTTCCCAGGCACATCAGCAGGAAGCTGAGTTGGAAGTGGAGCAACTGGGACTTAAACCAGCACCCATATGAGATGCTGGAATTGCAGCTGGCGGCTTAACCCACTACACCACAATGCTGGCCCTAAGAAACTGACTTTTGACCCAATCAAATCTGATACTTATTTCTTTTTTTTTTGTTTGTTTTTTTGTTTTTTTGTTTTTTGTTTTTTGACAGGCAGAGTGGACAGTGAGAGAGAGACAGAGAGAGAAAGGTCTTCCTTTGCCGTTGGTTCACCCTCCAATGGCCGCCGCACCGCGCTGATCCGATGGCAGGAGCCAGGATCCAGGTGCTTTTCCTGGTCTCCCATGGGGTGCAGGGCCCAAGCACCTGGGCCATCCTCCACTGCACTCCCTGGCCATAGCAGAGAGCTGGCCTGGAAGAGGGGCAACCGGGACAGAATCCGGCGCCCCGACCGGGACTAGAACCCGGTGTGCCGGCGCCGCAAGGTGGAGGATTAGCCTAGTGAGCCACGGCGCCGGCCTGATACTTATTTCAATGTTACTGAAAAATATAAGGCATATAGATAAATATTTCACAATTTTATATGCATATTCTTATATATTTCAAATTTTGCTTTCAAAAATTTTTTAAAGATTTATTTATTTGAAAGGCAGAGGGAGAGAGGTCTTCCATCTGCTGGTTCAATCCCCAAATGGCTGCAATGGCCAGAGCTGGGCTGATCTGAAGCCAGGAACCAGAATCCTTCTCCAGGTCTCTCGTGGGGTGCAGGGGCCCAAGGACTTGAGCCACCTTCCACTGCTTTCCCAGGCCATAGCAGAGAGCTGGGATGCTGGCACTGCAGGTGGTGGTTTTGTCCACTACGCCACAATGCCGGCCCCTCAAATATTTCTTATTCATATTTATTCTTGCAGGAATATTTAATACAAAGTACATTTTCCTCTCAATAGGTCCAAAATCAACAGCATTTTTAAAGTGACATTGTAAGTAATTTGTGTGGTTGAGTTAAAGGTCAAATAAATCCCTGCCCACTACATATTTAAAGGTGTCTTGATGGGAAACTGATATAAGAATGACATCATAAATGGTAAGTGGTTAATTTTTTTGGAGGGGAGAGTGTAAATGAAAATGCGAGGCTCACTTTGAGTACCCAAAGTGAGCATTTAAAAGATTTCATTGGTTACATGAACTTCTTTAAACCAGACAATATGAATGCAAAAGTCTACAAAGAAAAGGAAAACAGTTAAAGATTTTAAAATAGTGAAAATGATATAAATATTAAGTATCATATAAAGTACTTGAAAATCCTTGAAGTTTATGTTTCCTATTACAGAACTTCTTAATTGGTAGAGTCTCATTAACAACCAAGTAATAGAATTTATTATAATATCCTACATACCCTTAGCTGGAAATAATCTCCTCCTCCTACAAACTACCACACGTATTTTGTTCATAGCAATTATTCCAAAGAACTATTTTAGGGAAGGCTTGTTTTATTTGTTCTTGAAATAAAGCTACTTTGTTTTATTCCCTCAAACTACCTGAAGGCAGAAATTTTCTTACTCATTAGTGCCTTTTACACAGAGGACATTCAGTAAATATTTGTTGAGTGAACTGAAAAATCTAAAGTTTCTGTGTTGTACTAGTTATTCAAACATTAAAGAACTGTTTTAGTGATTAGATTTTCTTTTAGGTTCCGCTGCTATGAAAAAAATACTGCTTTGTAGCTACTACAATTGCTACACTTTTATAATTTGCTCATACCATTCATATTCTGATTTCTTTATCTGTAATTATTTAAAAAGAACTACCCAGCTATAAATCACAAAATGTACAATGCACCAGTATCTCTTTCCTCAGTGCTCTATTTTTCAGAGCCATTCTTTTTGAAGATAAAAAAATACTAAAATTTAGCCATCTGTGGAGCTGAAGAAGGTAAATAAAAACTGTAGAACTGGAAGGAAAATGAGTACTGATAAGACAACTACAAATCACCAGTTTTGAAAAGCACTGAAATGTCCTCAAGATCAGTTCTAAACAAGTTGACTACTGCTTTTCTCTTTGACCAATATGATGTGGAGTTGGAATTGACCCTTACCTTTTGCACAGCATTATAAAATGCTAATACAAATCACAATAACATCTGAAATACAACCCAACTGTTTGCAAATATATTTATGTTTTTATTTGTACTTAGGTTAAAAAGTCCTATAACAAAACAATGCCTATTTTAATACTTAAGAATTACATTAAAATAAAAAGTTTAAAATGGATTATCAGTTGTCAGAAATACACATTAACTAAAATCTTATCGCTAAAATTAGGAAATAATAATAAGTGCACTGGAAATTTTTTAATTACAAATAGTAATTATACAATTTTGAAGCACTTTTATATACATTTCTCATTTGGTACCCTTAATCTTCATAAAAACTGAACAAGAATTATTATCCTATTTTACAGTTCAAAATTATATGAAGTTATAAGAAAATGCAATTATGAACATCAGCCAGTTGAGGGCTAGGATCTCAGGATGCCAAATTTAGAAAACAACCAGCATCAAGGCAGCTGGGGGATATAGTCACAATTACTGATAGAACAAATAACGTGCAATCTAAGATATACGCAAACTAATTTACGAAGATAATGGATGGATTTTGGTACAGACAACGAAATCCCCAGGAAAAGTTCACTCTGGGGTGTCTATCAGAACCACCTAGGTAACTTTTCCAAAATATCTGTGCCCTGACTTTGTCTGAAATCTGAAAAGAAACAGAAATCTTGAAGAGTAAATCGCAGACATATTTCTGAAAAAGACTTGCAACCAATTCTACGACATTCTGGATTAAGATCCATGGCCTTAAAACATCAAACAGTGGAATGAATGATGCATATATCTAGAGAAGCAATCCAAAAATTGAGGACTGGGTCATGGGTAAGCTGTATGGACTGGGTCATGGATAAAATAGGAAAAGCAATTCTGGCTACTTGCAACCCCTTTTTCTTGCCCACTCAAAAAAGCTTCTTTAACTACAAGCAAGCAAGACAGATGTGATTATAGGGAAAGACTTCAACTACTGTAATTTACTTAAAAAAAAGTCACTTGCAAAATAAATGTTTTAATAATAATCAATATATACTTCTTGCAATACAGCATACAAATAATTGTTAGGTCAGTGTGCCAACACCCCAGTTGAGAGATGTCCTAGACAAGACTGCCTCAGACCCAAAGGAGCAAAAAGGGATAACAATAAATACTTTTCTAAAGATCACCTATATTCACTAGGAAAAGAAAATAAAATTTCTTCTGTTTTACTCAAGTGGGTTTATATAGGGTTAAAGGTGAGATCTGTTCCAATATAAAGCTGACTTTCAACTGGACCTGAAAAACCTAAGAAAGGGAATTTTCTGATACATCTATGACAACAAAGTAAATAAAAGATGTAAAAGATTTTGGCAATAGACCACGGGGGAAATCAAGTCTTGAAAAACCTTTCTACCTATCAGTGATAACTAGAGAAATATCTTAAAATATGAATTTCAGATAAACAATTTTTTGTGTAAGTGTATTCTATGTAATATTCAGTCATGTGTCTACAAAATGCAGAGAATGAAGGTGACAGAAAGTTGGAAAGAAATTCTGTGTCCCTTAAACTATTTGAAAAAAGATACTACACACCTCAGATGTTCCTAATTATGATTCATTATCTGAACCCCTTCTTAGTCATTTCATTCGTTCATTCCCTTTATGTCTATCATCTAACACCTTTTATGCCACTGCTATCTCTATACTTTTTCGTGTGTTGCATTTCTGAAACATCTGTGGGCTTTTACTTGAAAAAAAAAAAAAGAAGTCATTTGCTTTAACTACCCATTCCTAACTTCCAGCTTCATTATTAAAGATCATGTTGCTTCATGCTCACATCTATTTTTTCCCATTAACACTACAAAGAATTGTTAAGTAGTGAGGTTTACATAGACAATTGCTTCATGTACTACCTATTGCATGACATAGCAGAACCATATGCTAAAGAAAAATGTGAATAAATTATATAAATGTTAAAACATTTACTAGAGATAGTATTATCAGTAAACAAAGCCATGTTTACTAGAACAATGAGAGACTTCAAAATCAGACATAAAATACTTCATTTTACTTATATTAAAAATATATGAATACTTGCTACCTAATTAGGTATACCTTAGACAGGTCTGGGAACATTTTTCTTCACTATGCCTATTCAACTTAATTGTGTCAAAAGACTGGAATCACGGTGTGCTAATTTTTAAAAAGAGAATGAAAAAGTTTAATAGAATCCAAACTGTGAAATCTAAAACAATGAATCCGATGATTTACCTGAACAAACTTTAGAACCATGTATAAAGTTCTAGCTACTGCTGGCACTTATTAATTCTGCTTATGAGATTATGATCTGTGTTCCTTTTACATTAAAGACATCACCTACTCAATCGCACATACCTATTTACATATGACATCCGGTGAGAAATGAAGAAATGGTCTCACATGCTTGGTAATCAATAAAAATATTTTTTGAGGTTTTAATACCTTACTACAAACACAATCTAAATTAGACTATGATACACAATTTTTTTTCTGTTTGTTAAACTGCTTCAAAACAGGACAGGAATATTTAGTCAATCTTTTTCTCCAAGTTCTTTCTATCTAAGTAAAATACACCCAGACTCCTTTAACATTTGTTCTGCCTAGTGGTTTCAAACTAATTTAAATAACTTGTTATGTTTTAAAAGAGTTCCACTTTAATGTACCTCCAGAAAGACCAAAAAACAAACACCAAAAGGTATGACCTACAACTTGCAAACTTTTAAAGCTTTCCATTTAATTTTTCCCTTCAATTTAAAGAATCCTTAGTCCTCACAACAGCACACAATACAAAATTATTAAAAAGTTAGAAGGTATCACATTTTAAAATCATGCAAATCTTAACAATACTCTAAAGAATGTTTTTTTTTCTGTCTTTTGGAAAAACTCATAAATATTACATTCATGCAATAGCTTAATGAAGTGTGCTCAAATAGCCAGCCCCCCCTTTTTTTTTCACTTAAAACGCTCAGAATTCTTTACTACTTTCAAATAAAATCTTTCTGATAACCAATAAACTAAACAAACAGCTGTAGTTATCTGTATACTTTTAAACTAAGTGTGCTTTGAATGTATGAATTTATAAGATTACCTGAAAGTGTGGGGTCACCTAAGTGGGTAAAGGGAAAGTTGAAATATTTTAAACTCCACTTGAATTCTCACATGAAAACCACAAACTGAAATCAAATGTCATGTGAAACACCCCAATTTCCTTTTCAGCCTACAGCCATCGCAATGGCACTGCAGGGCTAGGCCCTTTAAAGAGGCTCCTTACGCTTGCTACTTCCTCTTCTCGACTCGAGGCCGGCCGGCTACCGAGGGTCACTCACCTGGGCCGGCTGGGGGACCGCGGGCCGAGCGCCAACAAGCCCTCCCTTTCGGCCTCCGGGCCTCTGCTCACGCTGCTCCCGGTACCTGCAAACGGCCCCTGGGCAGCCGCGGCCACCGGACTCAGCCGCCCTGGGTTCCCGGCAGCCCTGCTCCGCGGCTGCAGACGAGCCTGCCCCCAGCAGCCCTGCAAAGCCGCTTCTCGTAATAAACGCGTCTCACCGCCCCAAAGCGAGAGACCCAGGCATTTACGGACGGCCAACAAGCACATTAAACAAGCTGGTTGTTTTCACGAACACCCATTATGTTAAAGCACAGATATTAAAAAAAAAAAAAATCCTCGTTCCCTCTCTCATTTCCAACAAGGCGGTGGCGGGGAACTCAATGTCTCGGCTCGGTAACCTCGCAAAGTACGTGCGCCCGATTTCCCGGGGAAAATGCCCGACTTGGAGGACCAAACTTTCCGCTGGCGCCCGGCGAACCCGCCAGCGGCCACCTGTACAGCCGCGCCGCGCTCGGCCGACGGTCAGCGCGAGAGCGACCGCCGCTCGGCGCCCGACGGGACGAGGGCGCACGGCAGGCAGGAGCTCGCCCGAGGTCCCACGCTTCCTCATTCTCGTCCTAGACCCCAAGCCCACCATTTCGATACCAAGCAAGGCTCAAGGACGCGCACTCTTGGGCCCCCTCCGATCCGGACGGAGGCTTTCCTCACCCTGGCATCCCGGCGTGGGGAATTTCTCAGGTTTCCGGTTATGAAACTGGAATCCAATTACAGAGTCTGGCTTTGATTGCGCACGCAAACCCTGAGGCAGGTAACTTTTTCAAAGCCTGACAATTTGCCAGACGAGGCGATCTTTTAAGACGGAATCTGCCCCGATCCCCCCGACCCTCAGGGCAGCACGACCCCTACCCCCATCCCCCAAAAGAGCCCCCTTCGCTCCGGCCCTCGGCACCCAGCGCCGGGAACACTCACCTGAGGCCATGGCTCCGCTCATCGCGCCGCCCGCACACAGGCAGCTCCCAGCGTCCCGGCCCGAGGCGGCCGCAGACAGTCGGCCCGCCAGTCAGTCAGTCAGTCAGGAGGCCGCGGGACCTCTGCCGGCTGGACCCCAGTCCCCCGGACCACCCCCCGAGGCCTCCTCCTCCTTCCCGCCCTCCTCTGGGTTTGCGGCTCACACCTTCCCACCCCCTGAGTTCTCGCGCTGCGGGTCACCAGCGTCGCCCTTCCCGGGTGCCGGAGCCAGGGCCAAGGGGGCGGAGCGGGACGAGAGCCCAGCGCCGGCCGGGCCAGGAGGCGGGCAGCCAGGCGGGAGGGGGATTTCCCGCGGCTGACGTAGGCCCCCACGCCGCCGCCTTCCCCTGGGGGCGTGGGGCGGGGCGTTCTCGCGGCCGCGCGCGTGGCCGCCCTCGGCGGTCTCCGCCCCGCCCCGCGCGCGTTCCCGCCCCCGCCGCTGCGCTGAGGGCCTGGCAGCTGGGCGGCCGGCACGGGAACCCGGGATACTCGGGAGCGCCAGGGATCGCCCGGAGCCCGGAGCGTGAGAAGGCGGGCAGCTCCTGAGAAAGCCCCCTCCTCCAGGTTGTTCTTCCGAGCGAGGCTTAAAGTTCAGGAGCGGGTGGGAGGGCGCGCTGACGTGAAGAGGGCCGGCCGCCCGGGAGCGCGTGGGGGCGGGCCGCGCGGCGGAGTGGGCCCGGCCTCCCGGGGTTTTCGATGGGTGGTTCCCCCTCTTCCCGATTTCGCACATGCAAATCTCCGCCCCCGCGCCGGCGCGCGTCGTGGCCGCTCCGGAGGTGCGGAAGCGGCCGTCGCCTGCGTGCGCCTCGGATTCGTGTATTTGCATACGGGGACCCCCGCAATCTGATTTTTTACCTCTTTCTATCTAAATTTCTAGGGCTCGGTTAATTTCATGTCTTTGTGCCTGCCAGAACCTTTAACACCGAGAGGTCCGCGCGGCGAGTTCGTGGCCTCCCGGTGACGGACTGGGCTCGGGTTGAGGGAGGTGGCCACTCTGGCTTGGGCGTTGACAGCCACGGGGGGGAGTGGAACGAACAGTTCGTGCCTTCGAGAACCCGGTGTGATTTTGTTCCCATCGTTTGCCAAGCACCTGCTGCGTGTCAGATGGCTTGTTCGCCACATGTGTAGTGTATTATTATTACCCTTAGTTTCATGGGGTAAAGGGGTTCAGGGAAGGGGAAGCACAGGAACTTCTGTGCTTAAGAATCCTGCAAAAGGAAAGCAGGCTTAAACCCGAAGTTGTGCTACTCCGAAGCTCCACCCCCTTTTCCCTGCTGAAAAGATGCAGGGAAAGTGCCAGAAACTCGAGGACCCCGCTGTGGGTATAGTTAAAATCCTCCAACCCCAAAACATCCTCTCCACAAAATGTGCAAAGTACAGAAAGAATGAAACGGTTGTTTTCTTGGATAAGCATTAAAGCATACCCTGATATGCCTGTCACCGGCAGTGCACTGAAGATGGCAGAGCCGGAAAACTTCTCCCTTTTCATCTAACCAGACCTGTAGAATCCATTACCTACCTGTTAGTTGTCTTTCCTCAAAGGAGAAATCCTAGGAAGCCAAGGCTTAAACTCCCAAAGATAGGTAGATGGCGACCCATCCTCTTCGATTTTCACATTTCCGAAAGAGGCTGGCAAACTCAGGTGGGAGATGAGAATGAAGCTGCTGGCCCAGACCTGAGTTTTGAGGCTGTTTAGGGAATGAACCAATGGTTCCCTCTGCCTCTGCCTTCTCCTCCCCCTCAAACAAACAAAAATCAGCTGGCAGGGGATTTATTTAGCTTTTCAAAAAGGTGTGCATGATACATTTCAAAGGCAAAGCATTCACAATTTCAGTTTTTCTGAAGGAATTGCTAAATGGGAGCAAGTAGTATTTTTTGTGGTTTTTAGCACCAGGGATTTTTTTTTAATGTTTATTTATTTACTTTCATCTACTTGGAAGGCAGAGCAACAAAAACAGATTTTTCATTCACTGGCTCACTTCCCAAATGCCTCAAACAGCCAAGGCTGGGCCATGTGGAAGCCAGGAGCCCAGACCAACATTTTTGGGTTGCAGGGACCCCCAAGCACTTGGGCCAGTATCTGCAGCCCCCCAGGATGTCTTTCAAACCAATTTTTTCTTTTTTTTTTTTATTTTTTTTTGACAGGCAGAGTGGACAGTGAGAGAGAGAGACAGAGAGAAAGGTCCTCCTTTTGCCGTTGGTTCACCCTCCAATGGCCGCCGCGGCCGGCACGCTGCAGCCGGCGCACCGCGCTGATCCGATGGCAGGAGCCAGGAGCCAGGTGCTTTTCCTGGTCTCCCATGGGGTGCAGGGCCCAAGCACCTAGGCCATCCTCCACTGCACTCCCTGGCCACAGCAGAGAGCTGGCCTGGAAGAGGGGCAACCGGGACAGAATCTGGCGCCCTGACCGGGACTAGAACCCGGTGTGCCGGCGCCGCAAGGCGGAGGATTAGCCTAGTGAGCCGCGGCGCCGGCCTTTCAAACCAATTTTTAAAAATTATTTATTTATTTATTTGAGAGGAGAGGGAAAGGTCTTCCATCTGCTGGCTCACTCCCCAGATAACTGCAACAGCCATAGCTGGGCGGATCCAAAGCCCGGAAACAGGGGCTTCTTCCCAGGTCTCCCATGTGGGTGCAGGGGCCCAAGGACTTGGCCCATCTTCCACTGCTTTCCCAGGCCATTAGCAGAGAGCTGGTTTGGAAGAGGAACCACTGGGACATGAACTGGCACCAATATAGGATGCTGGTGCCCCAGGTGGAGGCTTAGCCTACTATACCACGGTGCCGGCCCCTCTAGAAGGCAATTAAAAATGTATGTGTAGGGGCCAGCATTGTGGTGTTGAGCTGCCACCTGCAGTGCTGGTATCCCGTATAGGCGTGGGTTCAAGTCCTGGCCGTTGCAGCCAACTGGGGAGTGAACCAGCGGATGGAAGACCTCTCCTTCTCTCTGTGTGTAACTCTTTCAAATAAATAAATGAAGCTTAAAAAGTATGTGTATATATTTAGTTGAAAGAGTCACAGAGAGGAAGAAACAATGATAATTTTTCTATTTGTCATGGTACTGACATTATAAAGAAGAACTTTTCTTGCCTTTTCCTATTTAAAAGTTTCATGGATTCTTATATTCATTGTATTATAACCTGTTACTGGCATCAAACCATTCCCATCTATGAAATCATAAGCTTCATCTTAGGAAATTTAGTGCAGCTACAGAATTTTGAACTAATTAATTTTATTTTTCATACATGTGCTTATTTAAATTAATACAATAGCATGTTTATATTTATTTTCAGGGCCGTTTTTTTCACATGACTCAGGGATTTATCTTGAAAATTCTTTTTCTGTAATGCTTCCACTACTTTTTGAATTAGTTGAAACTTTCCCCCAAAGATTTAGCCCATACCTGAAAAGCAAAATTACTTTATTCATGTGGGATAAACTTATTTAGGAAAAAGACAGCATGATGAATGAACTGCGAACAGTAGACATAGGTAGTGATTCTGATTTTTTTTAGGGAATCATGCAGGGAAAAAAAATGTATTACTCTATAGATGATAGGCAGCTAGTTGTTGGGGATTAAACAGGAGACTAGCATGTGGAATCTTCTCATGGGCTAAAGTCTTTGATACTTTCACTCAATTAAATAAATACCTGCTCTGTGCCAGCTGTTGTAGGTCAGCGTGGGGACCGTCAGACCCGCAGGTGGTATAAGGCCCATGAAATCGTTTGGTATGGCCCTGCCAAGGCAACTGCAGGTGATACTTGAAATTCAATAAATCAGTAAATCTACAGCAGGCTACTTTTTTAAGGATTTATTTGTTTATTTGAAAGGCAGAGTTACAGAGAGGCAGAGAGAGAGAGCAGGTCTTCCATTGCAATGGCCAGAGCTGCGCCGATCTGAAGCCAGGAGCCAAGAGCTTCCTCCGGGTCTTCCACATTGGTGCAGGGGCCCAAGGACTTGGGCCATCTTCTGCTGCTTTCCCAGGCCACAGCAGAGAGCTGGATCGGAGGTGGAGCAGCTGGGTCTCAAACTGGCACCCATATGGTATGCTGGCTCTGCAGGCAGCAGCTTTACCTGCTGCACCACAGTGCCGGCCTCATTTATCACTTTCTTTTTTTAAAGATTTATTTTATTTATTTGAAAGAGTTACAGAGAGAGGAAGAAACAGAGAGGTCTTCCATTCTCTGGTTCACTCCCCAAATGGCTGCAACGGCCGGAGCTGCGCTGTCCAAGGCCAGGAGCCAGGAGCCAGGAACCAGGAGCCTCCTCCAGGTCTCCCACGCTGGTGCAGGAGCCTAAGGACTTGGGCCATCTTCTACTGCTTTCCCAGGCCATAGCAGAGAGCTGGATGGGAAGTGGAGCAGCCGGGACCAGAACCGGCACCCATATGGGATGCCGGTGCCTCAGGCCAGGGTTTTAACCTTCTGCACCACAGTACCGGCCCCCACTTTTATCACTTTTTAAACATTTTCAGCTTTCTTGGCTATTCGTTTCCCCTTCCTACTCCCTCATTCTCCACTTAAAATGCCCTGTCATCTCTGCACACAAAAAAGTTGAGTTCAGTTTACATTGGGCCCTCTTCTCTGTATATTAGTTGTTACTGGATATAATCTGTTTTTACCTCTTTTAACTAATATCTGGCTTTGTTATTGACATGGATTACATTTATTTAAAAATAGAGGCTGGCGTTGTGGCTTAGTAGGTTAAACCACCACCTGCAATACCGGCATCTGATATGGGTGCCAGTTCAGGTCCCAGCTGCTCCCTTTCCAATCCCCTTCCCTGCTAATGCGCCTGGGAAAGCAAAGGAAGACGGCCCAAGTGGTTGGGCCCCTATGCCCATATAGAAGACCCAGAAGAAGCTCCTGGCTCCTGGCTTTGGCCTAGCCCAGTACTGGCCATTGTGGTCATTTGGGATGTGAAGCAGTAGACAGAAGATCTCTCTCTCCCTGTCTTTCTCTCTTTCTCTCTAACTCTGACTTCCAAATAAATCCTAAAAAATTTAAAAAGTAAATAAACCATTCTTTATAAATAGCCTGTCTTAGGTATTTCATTATACTAACAAAAAACCCTAATATACATCTATTCTAAGCCACAGAAAAGGATCACAAAATAATAAATTATATAAAAATTAAGTTCTCCTAGTGTGTAAATATTTGTGTACTTTATATATATTATGCCTCAACTTAAGAAATTTGGAAAGTTTTTTAAGAGGCGGACAGAGAAGCAGAGAGAT